TTTAAAAATAACTTAACAAAGTTTACTTTTAAAAATAGAGAGGGATTGACTGGTAACAGTTTCTTTCAGGAGTTCATTACGTTCAGCTATTGTAACATTTGATATGTAACATTTAGTTACTTTGAATAAACACACGTGGCATCTTACGTAACCCCACCCATGAAAATAAGCTCATTAACTATAACCATGCATGTACAAGACCATTCTGGGACATGTTGTTGAAAATGTTTTCACCACTTGACAGGCAACCAAAGTAGGAGGCACAGTTACATATTCATTTACCAGTCCAGGTTTGAGCCCTAGGGCCCGTTTCTCGAAAGCCCCGGAAACTTTTCGGGCCCGTAAAGCCATTTTCAGTCCATCTGTATCTAAAAACGGAGAAGTGTATACGCCTGAAACTTCTAGTATGGAAGAGAACCTCTCTCCATATTAAGAATATGTCAATAAAACAGCTCTGTAGTCGTAAGGTTCAAGATTTTGCTATGGCTTAAAGGGCCCGAAAAGTTTCTGTGGCTTTTGAGAAACAGGCCCCAGGCCAGGGTCCTTGCATAGTGTTCTTGGGGAACACACTTTACGCTTATAGTGTCTCTCCCTGCCCAGGTATATAAATTGGTACTGGGACAAATTCAATGCTGGGGGTAGCCCTGCAATGGACTAGCATCACATCAAATGTCTTTCAAGACTGACAGTGAGTGTCACCTTGTTTATCTTATACCATATATCACTTGAGCTGTGCAATCAGTGAGTAGCAGCATCACTTTATGCAAGTGCATGTGTTAAGCAATTACTTGGAGAAAACCATTTGTCTGTTGCTTTTTTTTTCAAGAAAGGAGATGTAATTAAGTGCCAAATTATTGGACATCTGAGAATACAAGATACAAGACAGGACTGGTAAATTTCTATACACTGATGAAAGCAAAAAGCAGTGTTTATGAACAACTTGAATAATAAAATACTTCCTTAATATGAAAATCAAACTTGCCCAACACATGAATGATTGATGATTGGCACTTGCCCGACATGCCACACTTTTCTCTGAGAGAATAGACAATAGCACTAATTTCCCATCCATTTCAAAACAGTGAAAAATGTGGATTTATGGCTTTGAAAAACCATAATTGAAGGGGTGAGTGCAAAACCATGCTAAGTGACGATTTGGGTGAAAAAAAAAATTTTCGCGAAAGGGCTTAAATTTTTGCATGTGGTCTTCAATGTAATAGAAAAACGCGGC